CGCAGCCACCACCACCTTGCTGGGTTTTTTTTTTCTTTTGTTTTCTGTTTTCTGTTTGTTTGTGTGTTTGTTTGTTTTTTAAATAGGGTCTCTGTGTGTAGCCCTGGCTGTCCTAGAACTCACTCTGTAGACTAGGCTGGCTTTGATCTCACAGAGATCCTCTTGTCTATGCCTCCTGAATGCTGGAATTAAAGGCATGTGCCACCATGCCCAATTTATACTACATATTCCTATTGCGATACCTTATTCAAGAGAGTATGACAATATTTAATTATTATATTGTAGAAATAAATCATGTTATCAAATAACATTGAGAATGAAATATAACAAATAGGCTTTTCTATAAAATAAAATTTTCAGTAGGGCAGTGGTGCTGCACGCCTTTAATCCCAGCACTCAGAGACAGAGGCAGGGCATCTCTGAGTTCAAGGCCAGCCTGGTCTACAGAGTGAGTTCCAGGACAGCCAGGGCTACACAGAAAACCCGTTTCAAAATCACAAAAACAAACAAAAAAACAACAACAATTTCAACAACAATGCTATATTTAGTATTCAATGCTTTGCTGATGATAAAATTCAGGAAATCAGCTCAAAGCTGGTTCTGATTGCTGTAGTAGAAACCACAGACATGGCCACCTATTCCATAATATGTGGATATTTTGATTCTGGAGAGCACAAATTTAAATAAAAATGTAAACAAAATGAAAATGCATCTTATCCAAATATTCAGGTGATAATTATACTGTGTCTCAGTCTGGTTATTGCTGCTGTGATAAAATATGTTGAATAACTTAGGTAAGAAAGGGTTTATTTAGCTTACAATTCCAGGTTACAATCCATCATTACTGGAAAATCAAGATAGGAACTTGAAGTCACATCCACAGTCAAGGGCAGAGAGACAAGACAGGTAGTGAGTGGTCCTGGCACACGCTGTTAATCCCAGCACTCGGGAGGCAAAGACAGGTAGATCTCTGTGAGTTCGGTGACTTTGAGGCCAGTCTGGTCTACAAGAGCTAGTTCCAGAACAGGCTCCAGAGAAACCTTATCTCAAAAAACAAAAAAAACAAAACAAAACAAAACAAAAAAACGAAAGAAAGAAAGAAAGAAAGAAAGAAAGGAAGAAAGAAAGAGAGAAAGAAAGAGAAAAAAGAGTCTTAGGAATTCAAGATCATACTCAGCTGAGGTCTGAGGTCCATCTTGCCAGTTCACTCAGTTTCCCTTTACTTACTTACCTCAAAAGAATGAGAATAGTAACAGAACTGACATCCTAAAGTGGTCTATGGGGTAGGACTGAGGATGTAGTTCAACTGGTAAAATACAGTGTTTTGGGTATACACAAAGCTCGGCCTCGAATACGACTAAGGCATCCTAGTGACTGTTGTAGACCAGACTCTAGAGCCAGTAAGTGCATGGGTTTGGAAACCAGGTATATAGGGCTGGGCTGTCGGTAAGGGACAGGAGGGATGAGTGGTAGCTTCTGGTGGGCTCAGCTCCATGAACGCTCTCAGTCACTGTCAGAATGTGTAGTGACAATTACTATTCCTTTGAAGTAGTCAATGCCTTTGAACCATTTTTTCTTTTTCTTTTTTGGCACTTGCAGATAATATTCAAGCACTCTACCCCAGAACTACAGCCACAATGCTACACCCTTTCAAAGGCATCCAGCTTGTTGTCAGGGCAAGTATATTCTGAAAGTTAGAGTTTCAATATACATTTAAGTATGGGGGGGAAGGGCACAGTGTCTCACTTAGCACAGACTGGCCTTGAACTTACTAAGGTATCTAGAAATGTCCTTGAACTTCTGGTCTCCCTATCTTTGCCACACGTGTACGGAAATTATATGTATGCTGCTATGTCTGGCTCAAAGTTGAAATATTAATATAAAATTGTTCTATAGGGTTTGAAATCCATTTGTATTATCATGTGAAATGACATTACATTTGTCAATAAAAGAAAAGTTGTTTGATTCTTTAAATAAAATTATAATTGAGAATTTTGAATGGTGGTGTAAAGTGGTTTTAAATATTTTATTACCCACTTATGTGATCAGAGGCCCTCAATGATAATGAGTATCCAGAATATGAGAGACTCATCATTACAAAGTCTGAATCAAAAGCTGCATAAAGTCATTCCAACCATAAAACTCAATACGAAAATATAGTCACAGAACCAAGTTTGAAGTGATCATTAACAAAATGGAAATTTTTACTTGCAAGTTTTATGCATATTCCATGTGCAATATTTTCCCTAATAATTTGCATCTTATTTTTTAATCACAATTATATAAAGGAAATGTCATGAAAATTTTAAATCAGCTATTACTTAGATGGCACCAGATCACTTGCTACTTGCTACTTATCCTAGCCTGTTTTTAAGTTCAGGGTCACACAGTGAGTTCAAGGCCAGTCTGGGCTGTGTAAAACCACGTCTCAAAGATTTCTAAATATTTTCTAGGTTTGATTTGTAGCACCCACATTGTAACATTAAACACACTTTTAATCCCAGGACTTGGGAGGCAAAAGCAGGTGACTCTTTGTGAGTTCTAGTCAACCTGGTTTCCACAACGAATTTCAAACAAATCAGGGCTGCATTCGGAGACTGTCTCAAACAAACAAACAAACAAACAAACCCTGTGCCTTGTGAAATGGAAGAAGTGGAAAGATCTCATGTAAAGTCTCTAGGCCACCCCTTGTCCCTATTTCCCTGTCCCTCAATAAAGTCTCTAGGCCATCCCTTTTACCCCAACATTCCTATTTCCCTGTTCCCCTGCTCCACCCTACTGCATTCCTGCATTTCAAAGAAAGTTAGGGCTACAAGGATTGACAGAAGACAAGGTTCAACAAGGTTTGAGCCTGTGTTTTATAGGGTCAAGAGCTAGATCAGGGATATTATATGTGCCATATTTTGGCCGCAAGAACTGGAGGTACTTTTAGGGGGGAAAAGCATACCAAAACAGTAGGGCATGTTTGCTCACCCATAGGTGGGATCTTTGCTAGGCTGACCTGCAGTGTGAACTCTAGGCCAGCTCTACATAGCAAGACCCAGTCTTAAAACATAAAACCCAAACTAGGCAGTGGTGGTGCACGCCTTTAATCCCAGCACTAAGGAGGCAGAGACAGAGGGATCTCTGTGAGTTTGTGTCCAGCCTAATCTACAGAGTGAGTTCCAGGACAGGCTCCAAAGTAACACAGAAAACCCTGTCTTGAAAACAAAACAACAACAAAAAAATGGGGTAGACAGCATGCAGACAGGCAGATTGGAGATCTTCACTGCTAGGCCTACCCCTTTTCCCGAGTTCAAATAGTGTAACTTTTTCCCTCTCTCTTATTTATTTATTTATTTAGGTTTAACAGCTCTGGCTGTCCTGAATCTCGCTCTGTAGAGTGCTGGGATTAAAGGAATGCACTGCCACCGCCTGGTGCCCCGCCACCGCCTGGGGGCCCTCTCTTTCCTTTGGATACTGCCCAGTGCCTGTAACCACACTTTCACTGACACGCTGGACCTTCTGTTTCTCTGAAGGACATATCCCACACTCCATTTTTCTACAGATGCTTGCCCACCTCCATGCACTACCCAAAAGGAGTGTTGTTCTTCTCTGTCTCTCTTTCCAGCAGGGGCTGGAAAAAAAAAATCTAGACAAACAGTTTGAATATCAATTTTGAAAGTCTTTAAGATTGTCCTTCCTAGCCACCTTTAATCCCAGCACTTGGGAGGCAGAGGCAGGCGGAGCTGTGTGAATTCAAGGCCAGCCTGGTCTACAAGAGCTAGTTCCAAGACAGGATCCAAAACCACAGAGAAATCCTGTCTTGAAAAACCAGAAAATGAAAAGAAGAAAAAAAAAGATTGTCCTTCCTAAAACAGACAGTAGTAGCGCAGGCTTTTAATCCCAGCAGAGGAGACAAAGGCAGATCTTGAGAGTTCAAGTACAGCCTGCTCTGCTCTACAGAGTGAGTTCCAGGACAGCCAGGGCTACACAGAGAAACTGTCTGGAAAAACCAAGGATTAAAAAAAAAGGAAGCTAGCTGGGCAGTGGTGGCCCACACCTTTAATCCCAGCACTTGGGAAGTGGAAGTGGGAGGATCTCTGTGAGTTTAAGGCCAGCCTGGTCTACAGAGATCGATCCAGGACAGCTTCAGTTCTTTCAATGGTGGACCATGAAATAGAAGTATTAAAAAAAATTAAACCATTTCCCCTTCTAAACTGCTTTTGGTTGTACTATTTATTACAGCAACAGAAAGCAAACTAGAACCAGGTGTTTTGTAGCCCACGGTGGCCTCACAGTCCCCTTTGTAGCTGTGAATGTCATTGAATTCTTTTTTTTTTTTTCTGAGACATGTGAATGTTATTGAATTCTTTTTTTTCTTTTTCAGACCGCACTGGCTGTCCTGGAACTCTAGGTCGGAGACCCACCTGCCTCTGCCTTTCAGGGTGGCCTAGAGGTGTGCCATACCATGCCTGGCAAATCCGTATTGTTAATTTATGATTGTCATGGGTGTTGGGAGATAGCTAATCCTATGTTCACTTTTACTTGAAAAACTAAAATCCAAATGGTTTCAAATACCTTTGCCAGGCAGAGAAAGATGCGATTTCAATTTCACTCATGTGCTTCACAGTAAAACTTGAAACATGTCATTTTAAAAAGACCCAAACCACTAACCAACAGGTAGCCTAGCTGGCCACAGAGCCTTTTTGGAAACTTCGGAAATCCCTCCATTCTCTAAAATTCTGTACCCCAAACACATGATTCTCTTCCTTCCCCGTGGATTGATAAAAGCCTGAATTCTTCCAATCTGCGGGTCGCCGGAAGAGAAAATCTAAATTAAATCGGTCGCGTTTTCCCGCCAGTGTCGCAGGGCTTACACCTTGGGCCTAGCAAGGAGGCGGCGCAGTCGCACTGAGCACACCGACACTTAGACCCCCGCGACGGGGGCGAACGGCTCAGAGGTTCTCTGGCCACGTGGTTTTCCTTCGAGCGGGCACTGGAATAGGATGACCTCGGAAATGGAGACCCAGCAGCAGACGGGGGAGGGGCAGGAGACGCCAAAAGAAAGGGAAAAGGCCTTTCTCCGGGCCAACGCGCGGTCACGCGGCTTTCTCCCGACGTGGGCGCTTCCCATTGGTCGAGCTGCCACTGACGTGCCCCAGATGCCCGGCGCGAACCGCGGAGGGGGCGGCGCTGCGTTGGAAGTCGGTGCGGCGCGCGCGCTCCCGTGGCTCGACCAATCCCCATGCTCCGCTCTCGGCCCGCCAACCCGACCGTCCAATCGCGCTCCGTTTCGGCACTACTCCGCCCCCGGTGGGCGGGCGGCGCGCGGGAAGGGCGTCACGTGATAACTAGCCCCGCCTCTTCCTCTCGGTCCCATATTGAACTCGAGTTGGAAGAGGCGAGTCCGGTCTCAAAATGGAGGTAAAACCGCCGCCCGGTCGCCCCCAGCCTGACTCCGGCCGTCGCCGCCGCCGCCGGGGGGAGGAGGTATTAGGGGGAGAGCGGGGGGTTGCTGGGT